TGCCAAAGACATTTTTGAAAGGATTTTGAACAAGTGATATTAAAATGAAATTTTTAAAGAAAAGCTTATGGAAGGTTTATAAACGCTATAACCAAAAGTTTTTCGACAAAAATTTCAAGGTAAATCACACAAGCTCTGATACCAATTGTTGGATATTATTCCTTTATATATCAGCTCAGATACCGATTTGTTGGAAATATAACAATCTGATCACCACAACAAAGGCTCGGTTACCAGTTACTGTGTGATGATATATTAGTTTAAGATATAAGATAGATATATATATATATATATATATATATATATATATATATATATATATATATATATATATATATAGAATAATAATTGCGGAATAAGTATAAATATGAAAGCTGTAAATGACTGAAAGCTATAATAATATAAATGACTGTATTTAAATGACGTAAAGCTATAAATAATATAAATGACTGTATTTAAATGACATAAAGCTATAAATATAAATGACTATATTTAAATGACATAAAGCTATAATAAAGTATATAAATATATAAATATATATCAAGTAGGTTCGTCAATAAATTGACTGAACCGGACTCATGAAACGACTGGTCGATATTTGTTCTTTGAATGGACTGGTCGATATTGGGACTCTTGGAGCGACTGGTCGATATATGTTCTTTGAATGGACTGGTCGATATTGGGACTCTTGGAGCGACTGGTCTATTTTTGTTCAAAGATCAATCCGGCATTGGATAAGTAACAAAAAGTTCATTTAAAGCTCGATTTTATGTAAAAAAAGTGTTTACAAAAGGGTACAAAATACATGGGTTTATGTATTTGTATTTGAAGTATTTTGGGTAAAAACATGCACACGGGTCGTGTAGGAGGGTTTTGGAGGGTTTTCTTGATGAAGCTTCTGAACACGGGTCGTGTAGAATAAGGCACAAGTGACACGGGTCGTGTAGGAGGTTTTTAGAAGGTTTTAAAGGTCAAAATCCTGAACACGGGTCGTGTTGATTTAGGCAAAAACAACACGGGTCGTGTTCGCGCAGATCCTTGCATACACAGATTAAAAACCTTCAGTTTTCAGAAAATCTCTCTGGATAGCCATTTCTCTCTCGCGTCTCTCTGGGGTTTCCTGTGGTCAAAATCGTCCACGAAAATTCCTAGATGAAGGTAAGGTTCTAAAGAATTTGTGGTGAAAATCTCCCTAGTCTTATTTTGGCTGTGTTGTGCTCGGTTTTCTGTTTTCTAACATGCAGATTCTGAACTTGAAAACAGAAATCTCTCTGGATAGCCAATTCTCTCTCGCGTCTCTTTGGGGTTTCCCGTGGTCAAAATCGTCCACGAAAATTTCTAGATGTAGGTAAGGTCCTGAAGAATTGATGGTGAAAATCTCCCTAGTCTTTTTGTGCTTGTAACGAGCCCAGTTTTCTTCGTTTTTGACTTGAAGATTCTGATGTCGAAAAACAGCAAGGTGGTGATGGTTGTGGTGATTTGAAAGGGTTTTTGGAGGAGGTTTAAGGAGGGTATTTGGAGATTATTTTGAGATTGGAAGGAGGTTAATATAAGGGAGGTGTTTGGTGGTAAATGGTGTGATGAACAAGGATAGTGAAGATGAAGAACCTTGAGTTTCAATGAAGAAGATGAAGATGGTTGATGGTGTTCTTCATTTTCTTGTTGATGATCTTGGTGTTCTTCACTTCATTGTTGTTTGATCTTGGTGTTCTTCATTTTCTCCAGGGATTTGTCTTTGTTCTTGAAGAAGATGATGATTTGTGATGTTCTTGGGAGTGTTTGTAGTTTGTAGGAAGTGTTACAAGATTACAAAAATGAACACACACACAACTCATGTATACATATATGCATGAAACAAATATCTTCTAGTGCACTTGAGTATATGGAGAGTTGGCTGCAAGTTGATGTAGAGTAGGAGGCAAAAAAACGTGGGTCTTCATTTAGCTTCTTATTTCCTTGACTTTGTTTGACTTCCTTCTTTGTTTGACTATTCAACATATATACAACATATATATGATACATATATACATATATAATACATACATATGTATATAATACATATATATATATATATATATATATATATATATATATATATATATATATATATATATATTGTTGAATTTGTTTAGTCACACATATGTGTTTTCGTCATTCGCGTGTTTTCGTATTTTCCGTTTTATCACGCATTCATGCAACCTGAAATAACTGATAATATTTGTTAGATTGTATAAAAACAGTTCATCTTATTTCAGTGATGGTCACATACTAGGTTACATAAGAACATTTTTCAACAGTTGTTATTATTCTAATGTCATTATTCAAAAATGTTTTTTTTTTGTCACAATCATACAACGTAATTATTTGATATATTATTAGTTCAATAATTGATTTTGTGTATTTTTTTCATAATGTACATATTCATGTTTTCTTCTTATTTATGTTTCCTTAAAAAATGACATAATCTTTCATTATAACAGAATATCATTTTAATAGAATAAAATAAAATAAAATAAATTATAATCAGTTATGATTAAACATTTAATTAGAATTGAAACTGAATTGTTTTTAACAAAAAAAAAATATAGAAATATCTCTTAAAATCCAAAAATTTTCCTTTTTTAAATATAGTTTAATTGACTAGATTACCCTTATAATTAAATTTGAGTGATAATATGGTATATGATATTCTATTGTAATATCATAGACCCTCAAAATCATAATTATTCATTATTTTCATCAATTGGTCTAGAATTGTCCATTCATCCACACAATAGTAATATAGAACACGTGAAATGTGAAACTATGGTATCCATAAATAGTAGAATACTACTTTTGGAATAAAGGTACACTAACATCGAAGTTAAAAATACTTATATACAACTAAATATAGTTAGTATAAAAAGGTATTTTCGAGTTATAACAATTCAAACATGTGAGTTCACCAACATTGTGTCGACGTTTTCAAAACCACATGTATTCCTAGGAAAACAAGAGATGGAAGCTTGCACTCCCTAAAGTCAAGACGTTCGTCTCAGTGGGAGAAGTATCTATGGAACCACTAGAAGCGTTATTGCTATTGTCATTTATTGTTATGCCTAATTGATAATGTGATATTTGTATTTAAATCCCTAGCACTATAAAAGATACTTCAATATAATATTTAATGGAAGTGATATTTATGTTATACCTTTTTGTATTGTTCAATGTATGTTCGATGATTGTGATGTCCTATGAACGTCGCACAGCCTGGTGCTTCCGCCGTCAGTCAGGGGTGTGACAACATGATCTCAAATATAAGGGTGTAATGCATATGATCATGTTAATGTGGTAGTATAGGACTTGTCGTTTATGTCAATTAATACAAACCTTTGTTTATACTAGTTTTTGTCTTATGAGTGTGACCTCCATTCACCCTTCATTGTGTGTTTGTATATGCTAGTATATGCTACATGTGTTGCTGCTAGTGTTTTCCACATGCTTTATTGCTAGTATTTGTGCACTTTATGTAAGATTACAATGGTTTAGGCTTATGCATAGAAGACAACCAAATGTGTTTCAACAGATTAAGACTGTTATTATAAAAGGTCAAAGGATGAGATGTTGTCCGCAAAGGAAGTAGATAGATAGTGTGATGTTAGGTTTTTTTAGGACATTGACCTCATATATTGGGGCGTGGATGCATATAATCATGTTAATGTAGTAGTATAGGAGTTGTCATTTATGTCCTTTAGCACAGACCATTGTTTACACTAGTTGTTATCTTATGAGTGTGACCTCCGTTCACCCTTCATTGTCTATTTGTATATGCTAGTATATGTTACAAGTGTTGTTGATAGTGTTTGCCCCATGCTTTATTGCTAGTATTTATGCACTTTATTTGTACTTGTAGTCCTTTCATACTAACGTTTATTTGTACATGTAGTCCCTATGAGTCCACATTTCTTTCCCTTTTATTATTGGTTGTATTTGCTGTTATTAGCTCTACGTGTTACCACCATTCCTTATTTCTACAATATACTTATATTATAATGTATATGATCCATCTAGCACTATGTATGCCAGATTGTATGGTTATTATTTGTCTGTTAGGTTGTCCTTAACCATTGCCTAATGACTATTTACATATATTCCAAGGCAGACTCACATTCTACATTCTACATGACGAATTAGACAAGCAGATATTATCTCTTCCACTTTCCTTTTAGTTGTTATTATTATTATTATTATATAATTATTTATTTTGTCTGGTCTTATAGAGGTCTTACCACGAAACACTTCCTATATCTTACCTCCCTTCACAACACTTCCTATATCTTACCTCCCTTCACAAAATACTTATAGGACTTGGCTTTTGTTATTATTGTGTATAACTATGAGTGATCGTTTGAATGGATTGGAATGATCCGATCCAATCAAGTAAATCCAATTATCCAAATATATTTCAGTTAAAACATGGATTCAAATGGTTCAAATTAAACTCAAATCCGATGTGATCCAAACAAATTACAACTCGGTTGGATCGGTTTTTACAATTCGGGTTTTAAAGGAAGGACATTTTAAAAGTTATATAACTTAAATTTTTGTCAACTCTATAAAAATAATTAAAATAAAATTAGTTAATTATAATTTATAAACAACTACTAAGAAAAAATAATTATAGTTTAATATTTCATTGACAATTTTTTTTAAAAAAGTCCATAGAAGGTATTATATTAGAATTAGAAAGTTTCTAATAATTAAGTAAATAAGTTAGTAAACCTATAAATGATTAAAAATATATATTTAAAATAAATAATAAGTTGTTATTCAGTTTTTTTAGATTATTAAATTCTTATTTTATAAACCAAAATCAATCCAAAATCTAAAGAATAATTTGGTTTTAGTTTAAAATAAATCCAAAAATCCAAATATACAAACCAAATAGTCCAATCCAAATTGTCTGATTGGACAATTCGGTTATAACCAAATAGTAAACAGTCCTATATATAACACAAATCGTTTACTAAAAGTTTATATCAGGACAAAATTTACCGTGTCTTTTAAATGTAACTAACCTGGATAATAAAAAATAACAATTTAATTTCGTATCAATTCAATCAAGACAACAAGGCTCCACTTTCTTTGCCTAAAAAATACTAGTAACAAATACGCGATCAAGATATCCTGATTATTAACAACTAAGTGGTAATATGCAAGTATCTAGTTTAATACTCATGATCCCAAAGAATAACCATCAATAAGGCATTTTTTTCTTATATCGCGCATGGAAGTTTGAAGCAATGTTGGATGACTCGTGATTATGGCATCAACATTTTCATTTAACATTTTATGCATTGCTGCTTCATCATCAACAGTCCATGCATAAACTTTCTTATTCCTCCTGTCAAATTGTATCATTAAACAGAGGTTATAAAATGCAAAAAAAAAAAAAAAAAAAAAAAAAAAAAAGGCTATTCCTATGAAAGCTGTACTACAAAAAATCAACCCTGCTATAGCCTATAGCTCTGTCATCCAAATACAAAGCAACTTTCACAACAATTGAGTGGATTTTTTAAAGTAGAATGTCTTAATAGGAAAAATAAAAAATGAAAGTAGAGTGCTATAATTGGGTAGATTTTTCAAAATCCAATGCTTTAATGAGGAAAAAAAAATGGAGCTACCATGTTGTAGTAAGAATATACTTGGTCTAACAACTTGGTTGCATAAAGAAGAACTGAATTGAAGCATAACACAAAATGTAAGAAAAGAATGAATATATATATATATATATATATATATATATATATATATATATATATATATATATATATATATATATATATACCTGTGCAGGATTTTAACAACTGCCTCATCAACTAGACCATGGAAAATGCCCACAACTTGAGCATCTCTCATCCTCAATAAGTTTGTTCTTGTTCCCGAAGAAAAGTTCATCATAACAATGTACCCCACCTATAAGGGACCCATTTCTTATCACCTTAGAGAGAGAGAGAGAGAGAGAGAGAGAGAGAGAGAGAGAGAGAGGATCTTACTGGCACATCCTGTGACTGTTTATTTACATCTCTAACTAAATTGTCGCTTTTTGCCCATACAACGCAGTTCTTACATTGTGTGCTCTTCAGCTGCAATGTCTGATTTACTTAGCACATATGATATAGTTTTTTATAAGAAATATTGCAAAGATAAATCTTACAACAGAAAGTATATCGGCTGCAAGCCCCTTCTCATATGATGGAGGCCCAACTTTGGCATCAACAACCACCTTCTCAACAGAACTTGATATAAACTGAAACAAAACACCACATGCTAAAATTATACTTTCAAATTTTAAAATACCAACTTATTGTCATTTACTTTCGTTTAAACAATAGTGTCTTCTGTTCTGTAATTGGAGGGAAATAACATTTACATCACGCAACATATATTTTAACCATAATAGTGTCTTCTGTTCTGTAATTGGAGGGTATTTTGGTCTTTTAATAAAAAAGGAACCGAAGAATGGAATTGAATGTACCTTTAGTGCATCTTCCATTGTAGGGATGGTTGTGTCATGAGAAGCCACATGAGTGGCACCCAACTCTTTTATCTGCAGTAACAAACTAAAATATACTTTCATTCAACGCAAAACTTCCAGTAATTATTACACTTGAAAAAATAGATTCTTATATTTCATCAAAATGTAACCAAATTTCACACTTGTTCCACCTAATAAGATTAAGAACCTCAAACTTTTTATCAACACCCAACTTTCATTTTCTTTCCATGATCTGAAAATTTGTATTTTTTGTTTTAAAATTTTGCAAGAAACCTCACCTCCTTTGCACTCAGGTGTCCAACCATGGATGAAGTGTTCCCAGAAATTCGCTGCAAATCCCTGCCTGTTTCATATTAGACTCAACTCTACTAATAATTAACAAAACAAAACCAAATATTTAAAAATGTAATCATTTTCCATCTTGTAAGCAATGCAACATAAACATTTTACCTATCATGAAGAGCAAATAAAACCCCATCATCAGAACGAGAAACATCAATCTCAATGCAGTCTACTTGAGAACGAATAGCAATACGATAAGCATCCATCTGTTAAATAAATAAATAAATAACATACATCAGTAACACAGCTTTACTATAATTTAATTATTACATATATGCATGTTTACAAGTAGTGAAAAGAAAAGGAAATCATGAAATATTTGGTAGTTTAAAAGGATTAGATATATACTGTATTAGGAAAGGCCTTTGAGGAATCACCACCATGAGCACACACAAGGGGAGGGTTATTTAACCAACTGCACTTTTTTAACTGTGTCTGCAAATACATGGACAAACAATCATCCAATGAGCACATTTTTTTGTTAAATTTGATCATCATTCTTGAAAGTTATCCACTCTTTAAAAAACTTTAAAAGGTGCTAAAACAGAATTTGCAAGTGTGAAATATGTATACAAACATGCACATCAGGTTTGGCATATTTCAGAAGCTTAATGTCTGTAGCAGAAAATATACTCACTCCATCACTGGGAAAGAGGTATTTTAGTACTTTTACAAAAATAAAATTGTTAATAGAATTTTCAGGCTCAACACAACTAGTCTTGCATAAAATGTTTATCTTGTTATTTGGTGTTTCTCACAAATTTAAACATAGGATAACTTTTCTGAAGCTAGAATTAGCAGGTCGATCTTAAAAGGTCAAAGTACATGTTGAATTGAAGCAAAAGAGGCATCGTTTACCATAACATTAGGAGAATTAAAATACCAGTCCTTCCATTCCAAAACAAACTTCAAGCTTTTTATTTTTCATTTTAAATTAGCACTGGCCAAAGACAAACTTGTAATTGAGGTTGTTGCAAATATGTTAACTCAAAATAATAACATGTTTAGAGCAAATTAGAGTCGAAAATTACACTTTTCACATGCAATAAGAAGAGAATAAGATCATGAAAGCATTTGCGAAATAGAATGTTATTGGTATTAAGAGAACTCCGTAAAATGCAAGAAAAAACTCAAAACCTGATGGATACGTCGAAGTTTGAAGTGGAAATAAACAGGGGGGAGGATGGCGATGACTGCGAGAATTACGAGAACGGATCTGAAGATAAACCTCCTGGACAGGATTCCTCTGATTCTCCGACTCAGATTTCGATCGAGCGACTGTGCGCCACCGCCACGTCGTCTTCTCCATTTAGATGTTGTTGCCATCTACTCGACTCCTGTCAATCAATGCTCACTGCTGTGATAGTGTGTTAACGATCGGTAAATAATTGGATTTGATCGTTGGTTGAACGGAAATGGGAATGGGAACGGAAACGTCGACGGGAAGGAGTATTTGCTTTGCGTTTGTCGATGCTTTGGAATCATTAAAACTATTTTGGAACCGATAAAATAAATTATTGATTTTATTTTGTTTTATATTGTCAAATATTGATTTTATTTTGTTCCGTATCTTACATCTAATATCTTACATCTAACCTAATAAATGAAAATGATTTTTGCCACATATCATGTTTTCCATTCATTTGCCACATGTAATTTTGTGGGTTTTTTTGAATAAAATTAATTCCACATGTTAATTTGTGGTGTTTTTGTAATAAATGATTAATTAATGTAATTAATGTATTTATTTGATTAATATTCTATATTTCCAAAAATGAAGAATATATATATACTATATTTCCCTTATTTTCCTAATATGTTATCAAAATTTATTCTACCAATCTCAAATTCACACTAATCTTATATCCTTTCCAAAATAATACAATATTTCTTATATGATATTTCAACTTACCATATAATTAATCAAGCATATTATTTCAATTTCACATCACATACTACTTACTTTTCCTATAAGGAAATATGATTTGAATTATTCAATGGACTTAAGTTATTGTATCAAAACATTAACTATTAAAATAAAGGTTAAAAAGTAACATACTAATATTTTGTTTCCTATTAGTCTAAATGTTTTTTTTTTTTTTTTACAAAGATAGGTGCAAAAGTGATTAGTCACCAAAATGGTCAATACTTCTTATACGGACGTAATATATATTGTTGAAATGTTAGTATTACAATGAATATTTTGTGAAGTAATTTCCTCTAAACATATCTCTTTTCCAAAACAGAATGTGAATGAATCAAAATGAACTTGTGTTGGAGATTATTTATGTTCTATATGAATTTCATCCAATATTACTGGAAAAAGTATAAAACTACCTCTTAAACCCTCATAACCATTTTTTTATTTTTCTAATATCTTGATATTTAATATTTTATTAATCAACCCGTGTAATACACGGGTCTTACACCTAGTTCTTATAAAACTTGTATTTTTTCTTGATTGCAAATCCCTCACAATAATTTACTAAAACTTCATTCATTTAAAACCCTCAAACATTTTCATCTTCTTAATAATTAATAACACATAATCAATGGTAATTCATATGAGATAATAATTTGCTAAAACCTCATCATTTGTATGGTATTATAACATGTTTGAGTTTTTGGGTTTTAGACTTTAGTAAATGGGTAATCCGTTTGATACGTTGGATTTGAAGCTATCTTATTCGAATTACCCAAAACAAAAGATAAATTAATAATATATGCTCATGCATATTTTGTACAAGCTCCAATCAAAAGTTTGTTTACGTGACGAAGAAAGAAAACTTGAAGATGAATATTTAGATTGGATGTTTATATAAGATTTGTTTTAAATATTTACGTGACGAAGAAAGAAAACTTGAAGATGAGAACGCTGAAAGTTCGTTGTGATAACCCTCGGATAGGACCAGATCCACTCGTTGGATTCATGAACGTGATAAATAGGATATACCCTTCTTGCTAGGATCAACTCATCATAGTCATTACAAATGACTTACTTATCTACCATCGTAGTAAGAAGGAAACCAAGGAGAGCAGCTACAACAAACCACGGAAGAAATACGATCAGAGAAGTATTACCCGATGTTCTCTAGATACGAGTTTTGGAATTGAGGGGTTCAATTCTCAAGACACATCGTTACCAAGGTGGAAATTCATAAGGACCCTTTCAATTGATCATAACCGTTGAGAAACAGTCAGCACCGAAGGCGTTAGCAGAAATACGCCAAGATGTTGGGTCTCGCTGACCTACCGTCTTAACTCCTTCGGAACTTCTCGAAAAATACGAACCCCCCTCCCAACTTTGACCCTAAGGGGAGCAAACCTTGACAGGAAGAGAAACAAGAAGAAGAAGCCTTTAGAACTCCGGTATAACCGACCAAATTCCTCTAGAAACACTCACTCAGGGAAGGCTTAGTACGCTTCGGAAAGCATGGAAATCCAATACCCCAAATAATTGTGTCTTTCGAGGTTCTTGTCAGAATCAGCCCTGTAACTCGCTCCTTCAATCTACTCCCGCGAGTTGGTAAAGTACACTCTACCCAACACGTCCCAAATTTACAAGAAGTATCTATCCGTCGAGACTCTTGCAACTCCCCTCGACGAGATCGAGTTCCACAAGAGCCTCAACTTCTTAGAAGAACCATGGTGACCATGGAACGAGGTCAAGCGGATGAAACAACGCCACTTCCCATTAGTGAAAGTTCGCTGGAATATTAACCACGGACCTAGAGTCACATGGGAGCGCGTGAGTCAGTCGATTAAGAAGTATCCTCACTTCTCGGCTTGATTATTCATGCCTACTCCTTTCCTAAATTCAAATTTCGGGACGAAATTCCCTCTAACGGGGGGATGATGTGACAACCGTCAAATTTCGGTCAAGTCAAAGTCAACTGAAGTCAGCAAGTCAAACCGTTTGACTCGATTTCCCCGTGAGTACTAAAATTTACACTATGAAACTTCTACGCAACTCTCTATTCTAATGAGAAATCATAAAGCAAAAAGTGCGAACACCTATACCTCCTTAACCTAAAAACTGTGGTACGTGGCGAGCCAAACCGATAAAACAATGTTGCATACTCATCGGGAGTGTGTAAGATCCTTAAACAAGGCTTAACAGGGTTTACGAACCATGCATTGCGATGCCGGACACTCACAATTGTCCCACATGGAACCTCTCCCAATCGTTTTCACTCTATCTCTCTCTATGTCAAATCTCTCCCAAATCTCTCCAAGTATGTGAAATCTCTCTCAAATATCCCTCTGTATTAGAAATCTCTCCAAGAATGTCAAATCTCTCCCAAATCCCTCTAAGCATGTGAAATCTCTCTCAAATATCTCGTTGTATGAGAAATCTCTCCAAGAATATCAAATCTCTCCCAAATCTCTCCAAGTATGTGAAATCTCTCTCAAATATCTCTCTGTATTAGAAATCTCTCCAAGAATGTCAAATCTCTCCCAAATCCCTCTAAGCATGTGAAATCTCTCTCAAATATCTCTCTGTATGAGAAATCTCTCCAAGAATGTCAAATCTCTCCCAAATCTCTCCAAGTATGTGAAATCTCTCTCAAATATCTCTCTGCATGAGAAATCTCTCCAAGAATGTCAAATCTCTCCCAAATCTCTCCAAGTATGTGAAATCTCTCCCAAATCTCCCTCAAATAGTTCCCGTAACTTTTTGGAATCATTCGGGTCACTCCGGCCCTTAACCGGGTCAAAAACGGCTTAAAACGGGGTAAAAACGAGAAAACGGGACCTTAGGAACCGAAACCCTTCTTAAGGAGCCGAAGCTCCTTAAGGCCGAGACCTAGGACCGAGAGCAGGACCGAACAGAGCCTCTGTTGGCCGAAACAGGAGGACCGAATCACTATAGCAGAGACCGAGCCTCAGTCTCTGTTCGCTTCTCACTCTCTGTTCGTTTCCCACTCTCTGGTCGCTTCCCTCCTCTCGCTCGGTCTCTGTCTCTGTCGCTTCCCTTCTCTCGCTCTGTCTCGCGCCTCTCTGTTCTCCTCCTCCCTCTCGGTTCCTTCCTTTCTCTCTTCTTCCCTCTCGGTTTTGCCTCTCTCTCTCTCTCTCTCTCGGTTCAGCACCAGAAGACCAAGCCTCGGCCAGAATTCGCATATTTGTCACTTTTAGCCCATTTTTGATATTTTTAACATTTAAGCCCGTTTTTCGTGATTTTAAAGCGGGATTTTCTCCAGAAATTATATTTTAACATAATAAACTTTAAATATTCATAATTTAAACATATTTTGATGAAAATCATTATTTAAATAATAAAAATCAAATGGGTGAATTATTAAAGGTGGAGTGTTGACTTTGCCTTATCCAATGTCACAAGCAACCACCCCACACCCACTCTTTGACTAACCACACCTCCCCACCTTACCTAGGTCACATCAAAGTCCTTTCCACTCAATCATCACTCCTCCCCATGTTTTTAGAGAGCTGAATATTCATCCTCTCTCCTCATTTTCTCTCATTTGCCCTCATTTCACTAAGTATCAAACACCACTTTCTCTCAAACTTTTCCCACTCCAAACTCAAGATTCAAGGCTGATCTTCGCGTGTTCTTCCACTCTTAGTAAGTATAATTCATCATCCTTATGATTATTTCACTTCATTCTACTCAAATCATGAATATCTTACACAAGCTCCATCATATTAGCGTTAGAGCTTCGAATCTTCAAGTGATTCTTCAAGTGTTCTTGGGTTGAACACTTCTCTTCTTCAACACTTACCTACTGAAATCACTCAAGGTGAGTTCATACCCCTACATTTTTATGTTTTCTCAAGTTTTCAGGGGGGAAATACAAGTTAAAACACTAAGAACATAACTAAAATTTTCTAACAGCCTTCATCAGAAAAGTTCAACTCCATTCACGGACTGTTTTGGGCATCTTAAACATTTTTGTTTTCAAAACTGTACAAGGTGAAAATAGTTCAAGTTTTTAGCTTTAAAATGGCTACTTTCACATCTCCATACGATTTTTCTACAATTTATGGTGATTTTTACAAAACTGCCTATCATTTCAAACAACAATCCGGACCAGTCTGTAATTTTGGACTTTTTCACCCAAGTTGGAGGTCATTAAAAGTCGTGATAAAAATTATGAGTAAACTAGACACATTTTGTGAACTCTCAGAATTTACGGATCTAGTTTTCGATTTCGTATGATTTTTCTATGATTTTTCCAAAAACAGGGCAGAATGGCTAAAGTTAGCCAACAGCATGTAAATATCATAACACTTTGTATTATGTTGAGCAAAGTGTATAATCATAAGTTCTAATATTTGAATGTGTTTCCTTATTAGTTTATCATTATGAACTGAAACTAAGTCATTCATATGAAATATTATTCATTCATTTTAGAACACGTATTATTTAACTATAAAAAAAAAAAAGTATAGTTTGATAAATTCATAACACTAATACATTTCCATAAAAGAATTCATACATATTACATACATTTTAGATAAACTATAATAGGTATAGTTTATGATACATCACTCAACGCACTCGTAC